AAGAGTCCACTCAACAATTGTTGAGATTGGCAGATGTATTAAACAAGAATATAATCTTGTAAATGACCTAGAAGTCATATTGAGATCTGCCCAACAATATAATAAAACAATCCACACAATCATAAAAGAAAGACCAAATGATGTCTTCTTTAACAATATTAATCATGAACATATTCATGAAAAATTGAAAACGGCACAAGCACGAATGCTAAAATGCCATAATAAAAATCGCTTAGATAAAAGCTTTGATGTAGGCCAGGTCATATATGAAAGAATTATTGGTGAACGAAATAAGTTACAACCAAGATTTAAAAGACAAATAGTAAAAGAAGACCTTGGTAATAAAATTAGAATAAATAATAGGAATAGAATTATTCATAAGGATAATATAAAAAATAAATTTATATAAAATAAATCCTTTTTTATTTCAGCATGTTTGTATATATCAAACTAATTATACTGATATTATCAGTAAATGGAGAAATAATAGACTATACTAGGGATAATTACATATTAATAAAAAATAATGACGCCTTGACATATTATAATTATAGTGACATTCTACACGTCACTAACTTAACCTATTATAGAGACATTCTAAGTGACGAAAAGCAATTTTTCGAAATTGAAAAGAAAAAACATTCTTACAACCAAGCAGAATTTATTGACGTAGAAATGGAAATAGAACTAGTAGAAACTCTACTCAGTCAACTCGAGAATAAAAGATTCAAAAGAGGAATAAATGAATTAGGCACCGTCTGGAAATGGATAACGGGAACCCCCGACCATGACGACTTTGTACAAATAACAAGTAAAATAAATGACCTAATCATAAACAATAATAAACAATATTCTACGAATTCAGAATTGTTCAAAACAATTCGAAGATTGACCCAAACGGTTGACACATTAACGGGACACGTATATCAAAAAATTGTGCGAAGGCACAGACTAAAAATCATAATAACTGAATTACAAAATACTATTCAGACAATAGCTTTAGCAAAAGCAAACATTTTATATCCATCTGTGTTACACTTTGAAGAAATTAAAGATATACTTCAACATGAATATAAACAAATTTCTATAATCGATCTGCTGGACGTCTCTACTTTCAAAATTGTCCAAAAAAATTCATTAATAATAATATATATCAAGTATCCTCTGATAACTGATAAATGTATTCTTTTCGAAACAAGGCCTATATTCCAGTCTGATGGAAACTTAATTATCCCAAATGAAATAATAAAATGTCAAAGTATCTACTATAATATTGATAATTGTAAAGTAGAACAAAAAAATATATATTGTAAAATAAATAATGTAAATAATTGTCTTTCTGATATTTTAAACAAAAGACAAACATATTGTAAGAAATCTAAAGAAAAAAATAAAAATATAGATATAATAAAAGAAGGGGCAATACTTCTTACCGGAAATCACTCTGTTAATAATAATAATATTTCCGGAACTTACTTAATAACTTTTAATGATACAATAAACATAGATAATGTTATATATGAAAATACAGAAAACAAAATAAATTTATACATTTTGAACCATTATTTTAACGATTTTAATGTCACTGAATATGTTGATTCAAGTGAACAAGAAATTAAATTAAATAACAGAGATTTAATTAATATATTAAAAAATGATTATAATGAAAGCCCCATTTCTTTATCTACACTATCAATTGTAATAATATTAGTTATTATATATAGTAGCCATAAATGCTACAGATATTTTAAAATTAAACCAAAGACGACAACAGTTAACAAGGATCAAGACATTGTATTAATGCCTTAGATCAACAAATTTCTGATTTCATGAATCGGGACGATTCATCTTAGAAAGGGGGGAGTTAACACCCTGTATTACTATAACGGCACTTTGCCGTTACACATAATTTTTGTATCTCAAGTATGCGCATCCAAGAATTGCGCATTAAGATATTTCATAACGCCTACGCGCGTTTGTATATTTAATTTCAGTCAGGCTTACTGCCTGCACTTCTTATGGCAACAATGTTGCAAAAGAAAACAAAATTGTTTTTCTTTAAAGACGCAACTATGTTGTGCAAAACAGATCAAGTATCATTCGAAATACTTGATCGATGAATTGTTCAATCATTATTGGACATAGATATCGTCATCTGGCTATTGACGCCAAAGCTAAAGACGCTGACGAGGTGCTTTAGCAAATAGAAGCTCCAATCCTATTGGATGGAGAAAAGACGCTTCCAGAAAATTCCTAGGAATTTTAGAAGCTTGAATTCAATTGGATAAAATCCAATTTCAGATTTTAAATAACGACTTCAGGCATCAAAGGAAAAACTTTGAATTGTCAGTCGTTAGGAAAGATTGAAACTAAACGGTTGAGTCGTTATAAAGAAATGAAACAAAACGGTTAAGCCTTAGCAAAGGTTAAACTAAAATAGTCGTTATCCAAAGTCTTTGGTCGGTCTTGCTGTCTTGAAACAAAAAGTTAATTATATTTTAAAAACAACCGATATTCAACAAATATAATAGTTAAACTATGTCACAAAAATTGTAATTAAATAAATTAATTAAATATAATAAATAAAGTATATTTTTTAAAAAACTAAACAAAGAACCCGAACATTAATTTGTATGATTGAATACGTATGCAGTCGGGCTCTTGTCAGCCTTACTCGACTCACATATAGGTTTGAACTGGACATCATACCAGTTGTGACTCGATCGAACATTGTTGCATGAGGTTGGGTGGATTTATTATAAATCCACCAGCAAAATAAAGTGGGTATTTCGTTTGCATGAGCGTGGCACTTCTTTGTACTATACATTCTTTGGTTAAAGCAAAGAATCTATAGTACAAAGAAGTGCCACGCTCATACAAACGAAATACCCACTTTATTTTGCTGGTGGATTTATAATAAATCCACCCAACCTCATGCAACAATGTTTGATCGAGTCACAACTGGTATGATGTTCAGTTCAAACCTATATGTGAGTCAAGTAAGGCTGACAAAAGCCCGACTGCATACGTATTCAATCATACATGAAACCCTCTGTATTACATTATACGCATGTTTGTGTGTTTGTTCGCTGTAAAATGTTCAAGCGATCAAACAGCATTTCAGTGACGAAATCAAAATTGTGTACATTTGATAATTTTTTTAATTTAATAGTATAAAACAAAAACAAAATTCCCTGTTTGCTATTGGTATGAATTGTAGTGTAAAAACACATTACAAATTTATTTATGTCTCAAATCTGATTTTTTTCATTCTATGAAGCTTTATTCTTAAATGTTGTCCATGCGCAATGTTTCCGAAGCAATATCGTAAACACCAATTTTAACATTTCAATCCGGTGTAAATAGCATTCATGCGTTTCCTCAAACCAGGAGGCATTAATAGTGGTTTTAGTGACTTCTACACATTTTTGCATTAAAATTTTTCTTACATTTCTAATATTTTTAATTTCTCTAAAATACTTTTCAAAAACTTTTATATGAATCTTGCAAATATTTTTTAAAATAATTACAAAAAGTCACCAAAAATTCAAACTATTAAGAAGTAGTTCCTTTTGAGGTAAAATATATGCACAAATGTGCAATAAAAACAAACCTATTTATGTACTGCAGACTTAATGTCTCCAATATCACATTTGTACATACATAATGGTTTTTGTAGTGCATCATTTGTTGCAATAAAAAAAAATATGTTCTATTACTCTTTACTCCTATGATATAGGCCTTTCCAGTACAAGAAAATAAAGCAACAAAGTATATTAAAAAATTATTTCAGGGATTTCTTTACCATTCACTTCGTTACTAATCAATGTATATTAATAAAATAGACAAATAAAAACAAGAAAGGCAAAAGAAACAGGCGTATAAAAACAATTGTGGGTTGCAATGAGTTTGAACTGGACATCATACCAGTTGTGACTCGATCGAACATTGTTGCATGAGGTTGGGTGGATTTATTATAAATCCACCAGCAAAATAAAGTGGATATTTTGTTTGTATGAGCGTGGCACTTCTTTGTACTATAGATTCTTTGGTTAAAGTCTATTTATTCTTCTATTCTCTTGTTGCATAGTATACCTATTGTCACCTAGAAGGGCACCTAATATCGGATGAAAAAATAAAATTCTATAATGTAGGCTTAATACTACAATTTACAGTAAAAGTCTCATTTGAAGAAAAGCTTTAAGTCCATCAAGGGAGTACAATAGATCTTTAGATTGTACCTCAAATTCCCTAATATAATAATGATAAATATATCACGTGAGCTTTTATGACTTTTGACTTATAAGTAAAAGGAGAAGTTTAATTATTAAGAATTAAACTTTGTATTTTAGAAATTTCGATGCTCTTCTTAGATTGTTGGCATGATTGGTTCGTATGTGTTGAAAAATGTAAAAAATTATAATTGCAGAAATACCGTTTCTAAGATGTTATCGTGATGGTAACATCTAAATTACATAATTCAATTTGAAACCCTACAAAATCACATTTAATCACAAAATCACATTACAAATAGACAAAAAAAGAAATATTTTGTTACATATATAAGCACTTCGATTACAACCAATCTGAGTTAGTATATATTTATTGTACATATGTATGTACTACGAAATTCACTTATTACTATCTCATTACCTTTTAATATATTGAATTATCTCTTATATCTATTCTATATCTTATAATTACCATTAGTCTGATTTCAAATAAATTTCATAAAACGAGGGAACCAACTTCGCGATGAAATTTGTTTTACCAGCGTTTTATAGTTGTTAAGAATTAGGCTTTGTTGCCCAAAGTATATGTGAGTTTATCGATATACTCCTATCTTGATCATCCAGATCGGAAATCGCAATAACGCAACACATATAGATTTTCGTATGAAAATATAAGTTCGCACCTACATTATGAGGGGTTGCCAATGAGCGCCATGTAAATAGTGACCCTCGTGCAAAGAACTTAACAATATTTACTACAAAATTTTCATTTTATTTAAAGTATTTTCCAGTGATTCGTAAATTATATAATTTTGAAAACATTCATAAATCAATATAATTTTGGAAACATTATACAAATTTTATTCTAAAGAAATACTTTATTTTTAATATTTTTTGCTAACTTCTCTAACTCTTCTTTATACTACACCATATACTCTTGCACCATTTAATTAATTTTTTAATTTAATTGATTAATACAATTTAATTAAGACTAGGAAACTGTCAATTTTGAATATGTATTAAGTTACATTTTTTATTAAATTAAGAATCGAATGTGAACAATTCGATTTTAACAATTTAGAATATAATATAATTATTTGTTACGTCACATTTTATACTAATAAATTTAGATAATATCTAAAATAGCTATAGTTTATTCTTCGCAATCAGATAGATCACTATGCTCTTCGCATTGATAGATTTCAAGCCAGCATCGTTGACATATTTCATCATCAAACCATATTTTGTCATTATTTTCCGATTTAGATTTAATACTATCAGGTTCACTTGGATCACAGCGTGAATTTATCGTGCTCTGATCCAAATTATTAGTTTGTCGGAGTTTGCCGTCAAGATCAGTAGATTTTTCTGACAATGTCATATAGCCTTGATTTTTCTTACAAACATTTCTGCTGGAAATTTTTTGAAACAATGCATAATTATCGCTGGGCCCATCGACATTATTTTTGGCAGAAACAGAATAATCAGAATCACTGTCAGTGCCAGTTCTATTAGAAATAGAAGTACATGGATCTTCAACGCTTTCTTTCAATATTTTATGGCAGTTCTTACACAACTGATAATCGAACTTGTAAGCGAAATTTGTTTTAGCCATCTCAGCAGTCAAGACTTTAGCACCACAAGTAGACTTCTTTTTCTTACAAGCAATAATGTTCAAACTGTATGAAGAGGTGAGATTTGTACTTTGTTCAGAGATTCTCAGAGAACTATTCCCAAGCACTGTTGTGGCACTATATTCACGTCTACATTTTTTTACTGGAGAAGGCGACGAAAATTCAGATCTATATGATTCACTAGACATTTCGCCACATTTACGCTTCTTCGCAAAACGTTTAACCTTTGAAAGAAAATTTAAATATATTACACAGGTCTGATACTCCAACACAATATACCTTACCTTGTGTTGGTTCCTCTTTTCATCTTCTAAATATTGCATTAATTTTCTCGTATCGTCTAAGTTGTAATAGTACCCATTGCATGTTTTAATATATTTAAATATAATGCCTCTCGTCAACGCCAACATCACATCTTCTAATAGTTTTCTGGTATTGATTTTATTCCATAGCTTTCCAGCTATACGCTTCGCGATTTTGACGGGGGTTGCTGGAGCACCTATTTCAGTCATTATATGTAATAAGTAAGCGCTATTAATCCCCATCTTTTTTGACAGTCTGAAGAATATTTACTTATATGCCAAATTTTGTTTTTATATTAAAGAATATTTAGAGTCACACCAAATTTATGTGAAACATTCTTGTTGCAATAATCTAAAGAAAATATTTATAAATGAAAATTTCAAATTTTTTTGGGATATTCAAATTTTTTATACCTATCAGCCTACTTTAATGTAGTTTTTGTACGTTTAGGTTATACAGTTAATATGAGAATTATTTTTAATTTTGAAGCATTTCACCTCTTCTAATTAACAACTAAGGTTTCCAACAATTTTAACTCATTCAGTAGAAGATGTCTTATTATACTCTTTTGACACTTACAATTTTAGGGACTTCCGTCATCAGGCGGATATTTGGAGAATTGTTCAGCACACAATACTCCCCACTCTGATGTACTGATACCTGTATTCCATAAGTTTTTGACATATTGTTGGAAGAATATGAAATATGTTGATACTTTCTGTATCACGATAACGCGTCAGCTCGAACAACTGATAAAATGAACCTCAGGGATTAAAAAAATTCCCCCCACACTATCTTCACTGAAAAGAGCAAGTGTCTTCTCCAATGATGGGGAGATAATTAGTGCAGTAAATTTTGAGAACTATTTTTTTAATTGAACTTATTTTGGACCAATAAAAAATTATAAAGATTGTAAAAAGAAGTTGCCGATGTCGTTTTTGGTAATTATGAAATATTAAGTGAAATAAAATAGTATTTGTGAAGTTTGATATTTAACAATTTATCTAATTTTTCAATTTTATAATATAATTCACTTTTAATTTGATTTAAATTCCAATTGGCCATAACCAATTACAAGCCTAGAATCATTTTTAATTCTTTAATTTTAGGAAAAGTCGTAAAATTTTAAAGCGGAACTAAAATTCTTTATATTTTTTAATTTTTTTCTTAGACTAACATATTGTCACTTTAAGTATTATTCTCACCATGGAAAATGACCACAATTTTAACAGCAATTCAGCAAAATAGTGCTCATTTTGTATGGAAAAATGACATTTGGATCATTGGATGATTTGGATTTGGATCATTTATGTGACATTTAGATGGCGAATGGATTAACAATAATACTAAGTAAGGTCATTTGCAGTGCTACTGTAAAGGCACCATTTATTATCTAAATGGATGAATTTAGTAATTTCGTTGCCGTACTTTGATGAGCATGTGTCGTGAAAGGTTAAGGCTAACTTTTTTTTTATATTGTGTTACGTGCTCATCTTCAAAGGAAATATTTACTGAGACTTCTAAAAAGTTTCGATTGGATCTGCAAGAAGATGTTCCTTGCTGTTAAGGAATATCGGCTTAAGATTTTTGATTGCAACATTAAGGGACTTGTCGCTTATTTTGATAGTAAATACTTGGGCATTTAATATTTTCAAAACTTCAAACGGGCCGTTTGAAAAATTAATGAGCAATTATAAATGCTTTTTGGAATAAAGATCTGATGGTATTTATAAAACATAGCGTATATATTCTAGAAATTGATTTAAGAAACTTGCTTGGTGTGGAAAAGCGTTGGTGTGCTCTAAAAAACCTTTAAATATTAATGAAGTGGTGTCATAAGCTTTCTAAGCAATCGATTATCCGATTATTGAATTGATGTTACAAACTTTTTCTAATACTCATTATCTAATATCATCTCTGATGATGTATGCAGTCATTGAAAGACTAATTAAATAAATTAAAACCATTTAGTGATGGATGATATCATTTTGTGATATATTGTAATTATCTAAGGCATGTCAAGAAATTTGCAGACACCGTATCAGCTGTGATCTCTTTCAGGGAGAGTCATTTGAAGTCAACAACTAAACTTGTTGATATATGTGTGTGCGTACCAATAGATCTGACATACTGGTAATGTCACCAAATTGAAGTAGTTATGGTGGAACCGTTTTTATGGGAATATTTTAAGAATGAATTTTTTATGCTTATCGACGTTAGCTGGCTTACATCTCTAGCACAGAAAGACATAGTTTTGAATGACGCTGCGTTAAGATGATTGAAAGTATTTAGATGTAAGATGATGTGCTATAGATTTGAAATCTGTAGATTTGGTTGAATATCTTCTTCTATAGCAGTTTTAGTACTGCTATAGTACTGCTATGCTATAGTACCAGTTATAATATCACAATAGGTTTATTTTTATGATTGTAAGGATCGTTGAAATAAATTTGAATATACAAGTACTTTAAACGGTGTCCATTGTAGTCTGTACTGCATAGAAAGGTGCTTACATAAAAACGATAACATTTGAAAAATGTTTGAGTGCATTCGTTTTATGGAAGTAGCAAATCGATATTTTAATTTATCTAATTAAATTGGGTTAAATTATTTAAACCCAAATAATTTGATTTTTATGCTGTGGAAGGCATTGAATGCCTTAATTTGAGAATCGAACTCACTTAAACCACTTAAACCTCACTTTGTTTTAGGAATAAAGAAGACAGATATAAATTATAAACCATAATAATACAATGCTTCACCCTTACTCTAGTAATCAAGAGAAGGAATTATATAAAAAAATCATAAAGTTTAATATTTGTATTATAAATTTATCTATACTAAATGTGGACTGTCGAGTTAGGGAGGGAAACTAGGTCGTAAGTGCATGGTAGGTATAAGCGATTGCTTTTATTAGTAAATTCTGTGCAAACAGGATCTATCTATCGTCTGGTCAAAATTGGCAGTGTTCTAAAGTGTAAGCTATTAGAGGATCCATCTATCCTCTGGTCAAAATTGGCAATGTTTTATAGTGTAAGCTATTAGAGGATCTTTCTATCCTATGACCAAAATTGGAGGGTGACTAGTTTCAATAGTATTTTGTAACTTAGTTATACTTAAAATGTTGTGAAAGCGGAAGAAAAGTAAACTTAAGTGTTTATTATTAAGTATTTTTAGTCTAATTAGTTTTTTAAGTATTTGTAGTATTTCTATTATTTTAAGTCTTTTAATTATTTCTAGTTTTTTTTTTAGTAATTTTAGTATTTTTAATGTTTTTAATATTTATAGTAATTTCAGTATTTTTAGTATTTTTAATACTTTTAACATTTTCAGCATTTTTAGTATTCTTAGTATTTTTAGTACATAGTATATATATAGTATTTTAAAAATTTTTATTATTTTTAATATTTTTAGTATTTTGAGTATTATTAGTATTTTTAATAATTTTAATATTTTTATTTTTATTTTTAGTATTTTTATTATTTCTTGTATTTTAAGTGTTTTTAATATTTTTAGTATTTTGAGTATTATTAGTATTTTTAATAATTTTAATATTTTTATTTTTATTTTTAGTATTTTTATTATTTCTTGTATTTTAAGTGTTTTTAATATTTTTAGTATACTTAGCATTTAAAGTATTTTTAGTATTTTAAGTATTTTTAGTGTTTTTATTATTTGTTTTATTTCCAGTTTTATTAGTGTTTAAAATATTTTTAGTAGTTTTAGTATTCTATAAGTATAAGTATTCTTAATATTTTTAGTGTTTGTAGTATATTTAATATTTCAAGTATTTTTTGAATTTTATAATATTTTAGTATTTTAAGTATTTTTAATATTTCTAACATTTTTAATATTTTTAATATTTTTATTATATTGAGTATTTTTTTATTCCTAGTATTTTAAGTGTTTTTAATATGTTTAGTATACTTAGCATTTAAAGTATTTTTAGTATATTAAGTATTTTTAGTGTTTTTATTATCTGTTTTATTTTTAGTTTTATTACTGTTTTTAATATTTTTAGTAACTTTAGTATTCTTAGTATTTTTATAAGTATTCTTAATATTTTTAGTGTTTCTAGTATATTTAATATTTCAAGTATTTTAAATATTTTATAATATTTTTAGTATTTTAAGTATTTTTAGTACTTCTAACATTTTTAATATTTTTATTATATTGAGTATTTTTTTATTCCTAGTATTTTAAGTGTTTTTAATATTTTTAGTATTTTTAAAATGTTTAACTTTTATAATTGATTTAGTATTTTCATTATATATATATATGCATTCAAATATCTTGAATAATCGAAACAAATTTTTTATTATTAGAGGACTTTTTTCTTTTAGGACTTCCTGGACTAAGAAGTTAGGAATTGAAAAGATTTGAATCTCATATTAATTATATGAATGGAAAATTGAAATAAGAGAAGCATATCAGAATGAGTCGATTTCTTCAAGAAAAGTGCAATCATTTTTGGCTGTATATAGTAGTACAATCATTTTCGAATTTTACCCATATATGTAAAAATATTAAATCTTTTCTCTATTGTATTTATAGAAAAATTGTGAGTTACATATGTATATGTTTTTGTAAATTCAAAATAATTTATAATTTTTACATATTTATTTCGTTGCCATTATAATTGCATGTGCCAACATATCAGCGTTTAATTCAACATTACAATTTATTCCAAATCATATGAAATCTGTCAACATTATTGCCAACTATAACCTTAAGTGTCAGTTGTAATAAAACGTGACCATATTTAACTTAACAGCTGTCAAAATCTTGAATTTGGCTCTGAAATCTCATTTTTACTCGTTGCATGTCAACATAACAAATGCCTGAAAGGCAATTGCAGCAGTACCGCGCTCAAAAATTAAATAAACTGCGATTAATACTCCATAGACCATGGAGTACTATGGAGAACGAGTTCATACATATGTTCCTACAGTTTGCCAGTCCACAAACTGTCTTCCAACTGAAATAAAGCAAAAAGCCAAAAAGCCGTGAAGAATCAATTCAAGAGCTAAGCATGATAAGTTGTACTGAATTTATCATGCGGCGCCCCTCCTTTTGCATGTCATCTAGTATATTTGACTATGTTCGATTACAATTTGCAATTTTACACCCAGACAACGTTTAACACAAAATTATTAATTAGTCTAGCGGCCAAGCTTAGGTTAGTCTTTGGTCAAGACTCAGTCTTTGGCCCGTAACTCAATTGCGGCTTATGTCGTTGGTGAAACTTTTGCCGTCACCGCTTTTTGGCCACCGTTTGTTGCAAATGTTGACAGTTGCAAATTGTGGCAATATTACGTAAAAACTTGCGGACAGTTTATG